ACGAAGCACAATATGGCAAAGCAGCACCATGAAAGTACATCCCGGGGGGGTGGGTTAGTCCTTAACACAGCAAACCCACCACCCACTCAGGGCCATCCAACAACCCACCCAGCCCAAACAAGAGACCATCTGCCGTGCAGCGACTCCATCACCTGCAGAAGTTCAGGCCCAAGCAGTTTTGCTTTGGCAGGATCCATCCACACCTTGAAATAAGACGCAACGGAATATGAAATCCAGACAACAGGAGGACCCACATCCGCTGCTGCGTTCACAACTGCAGGCTGGACTCGTGCTCGCGCTGCGTCAAGGACACAGGACGACTTGCAGAAGTAGGACCACGAATTCCGCTGATTTTACTAGACGAAGATTTTCCCCTTTCCACAACGCTGATCCTTCCCCAAAATTATATAGTCTATACAATAATTTTGTATATATACACACATTTACCTGGAGATACTGTTATTATGGCACGTCATTACATTGCTGCAAGATTTTTAAAAGTAGGCAACCAAGCTGTACAACAGGGGTTTTATTTTGGGGGAAGTAATTCGTTAAGTGTAAATTGGTAGTTAGGCTGATGGAAAGTCAGACTGATGTAGGTGAACATTTTTCAACTAAGAGATAGCTGTGGGTGGGGAAGGCAAACCTTTTATCTTTGAAAGATTTTTTTTTAAAAAAGCTTTAAACATCATTTTTTAAGAAGCATCCAAGAGAGGAATTTTTAAGGTAATTTTAATAACCATTGATGAAAACACCAATTTTTCTATTGCAAATGTGGGTGGTGTTAACCCTGCCGTTACCTACAGCTGGGTCCTACAAATCAGACTCGTGCTGGCTTCGTGGGTCACCGCAGCTCCTCCACACCACATATACTCCCCCAGACCTGTCCCATTTTCCACAAGCAAGGCACATCTCCACCTCCAGCCCCGGTGACTATCAACCTCACCCAGCCCAGATCCCCTCTGCTGCATTAGCACCAGCCAGCATTTCCCCAGGACCACCAAGCACAGCAACTGAGACATCTCAAGCCATAATTTCCACAACCTGTCCATGCCAGGACCTTTTTTCCTGCTACCATGGAGCCCTCCCGGGCCAAAATTCCAAACTAAAAGGATTTTGCATTTCCATGTTACCCACTCGGAAGTTTGGTTTAGAGACCACCAGCTAGAAAATGATCCTTAGCCAACATAAAAGAACACTAACACTTGTAACAGCAGGAGTAAAGCGTACACAAATACTACAGCCCCTACAAAGAGCTCCCCCAACACATAATTCTCTCTTAAAACAAGGAAAAGCTTTAGAAACACAGCAAAACTCACAAGTGCCTAACTTGCTGTCCTTCACAACATCACCTCAAATCAGGCCAGGCAGCTTCCTAGGACACATTCCCACCTCCTCCCAAACCCAGGCAGCCTGTGAATCCTGCTTTTATAGGGTTTTACTCTCCCTCCTGAAACACCTTCACCTGGTGACTCACTAATTACATCCCAAATGAGCAGGCAGCTACAAATGAGACACTTCTGCTGGAAAAGAAGACGTTGCATCTCAATACAGCTTCTACAATTCTCCATGGAAAGTTGTCTTCTACATTTCTCCAGCCTTCTTTTGGTGCTTTTTCAGCTCGTGCTTGAGGCAACAAGGCCAGAAAAGGGCTCAATGATGCTTTGTAATCAAAATGTTATTGTTGAGAGAAAATAGAGCCCACACAGTGATTAAAAATAAGTCTTTGTTTTGGGGAGCAAGGGGAAAGACTCAGCTGAAGGATGACCAAGAACACAGCCCTGAGCAGTTTGGGTCAGGCAGGCTGCCCAGCCCCCCATCCCAAGACACGACTGGGTGACTGGAACAAACTGGACACTGCTGGGCTGGGGCTGCTGGGGGGTTTTGCAGCAGTTGCCGTTCGTAGGGTCAGGTGCCATGCTCTTCATTCCAGAAATAGAGCAACACCCCAAACTAACACAAGAAATCCAGGCTTTCCTAGGAAACTACAACTTGCAAAATAAAAGTCACAAGTTTTCTTCATACAGTCACACCATTTTAGGATGTTTTTTTCTGCAGGTAGGACATGGGAAACATTTTATAGCACAGGAACAGCCGGGCAATGACTGATGAAGGGCAGGAGGGAGAACACTTTGTTTTGACCAACTCAGACAATGCGTTGTGGATCCCCATCCCCAATTTGGTGGCATCAGCACATATTCATGGAACCTCCCCAGGCCAGGGATCAACCGAGAGCAGCTCCTATTGGGAAATACCCCCCATAGCTTTTGGGCAGTCCTAACACAGCCCTGCCATGGAGGGTTGGGGTTCACAGTGAAGCGACAGTCTAGGAGAGAGCACTTACAGGGTAACCTGGCCTGCAGAAAGGCTTGCCCAATCCTATGGTCCTCTCCTCCCAGGAGGAGGATGAATTCCCCCAAGCCATGCTCCTCTCATGGAGCTGAGATGGCAACCAGGGAAAGGTATCAATGAGGTCTGCAGGGAGCTTTGAGCCAACAGCTCGTGCGTTTGGAAAGATGTTTCGTTAGCAATCTGTCTGTCCTGGCTTCTCCAGCTCTCCTTCAGTGCTAAGAGCACAGAAACACTGTGGACAGGTGTAAACATGAAGCAGAGTTTGCCAGTGGTACAAACACATATGAGGCCATGCAGAGAGCTGGCAAACATGCAGAACAGTTTTTCTCCTTTTTCCCATCCTTTCTACAAGGTCTCTCCTTGTTGTGAAGAAGCAGTGTGCCTGGTGTCTGGCCTCCCTTTTTCTCTGGTCATTTTGGTTGGGAGTCATCTCCTCTACCGACATACATCTACAAGCTGGTTGTTCTCAGCTGAGCTAGTTCTGCACATTCCTGCGGTTCCCGGTGAGAGCCCCATCAAGCCCCTCACTTCCAGCTCGGGTGGGAACCAGAGATAGATGTGTCACCTTCCAGATCCACCAATCTGTCAGTTGGCCATGGAGGACCCTGAAGGCCCAGTTTAGCCCCAGACCAGAGAATATTTGATATCAACAACCCATAGAATCTTCCAGGCTGGAAAAGAGCTTTGAGATCATCAAGTCCAACCATTAACCCAACACTGCCAAGTCCACCAGTAAATCATGTCCCTAAGCACCACATCTACATGTCTTTTCAATATCTCATGGGATGGTGACTCCACCACCTCCCTGGGAAGCCCGTTCCAATTCTTGAAAACACTTTGGTGAAGAAATTTTTCCTAATATGCAAACTAAACCTCCCCTGGTGCAACTTGAGGTCGTTTCCTCTTTTTCTGTTGTCCCTGGGGAGAAGACACCAACCCCCCCCTCTCTGCACCCTCCTTTCAGGGAGTTATAGGGAGCGACAAGGGCTCCCCTCAGCCTCAGGGAACACCCAATGCAAGAAAAAAACAGGCTTTTTTTTTTCATGAGATTTTTTTTGTCTTTTTAATTTCATCTTGGTATGCGATTTCTGACAGTGTGTCAGCATCTCCCGCCGGGTCAGCCGTCTCCGGACCCTGCTACATTCAATGTCAGATCGTACGGTGGCGATGAGCCAGTGTTTTGAGCCTCACAGTCACTCGCATGTCTTTCCGGGTTGTCACTTACATCATTTGTGAACAGCAGCACAAAAGGACACAACGCATGAAAACGAGAGTGGGGATGAGGTGAGGGTCAGCTGAAGGCTTGACCCAAAGGAGAACTTTCCCCAGGTTCCCACGGTTCCAGCAGGGATGAACCCGAGCATGGGGTGGGAGATGCAGGACTTGTCCTCCTTTCTCCTCCACCTGAGGGTAGATGATACGGGCTTGTCTCCAGAGCCAGAACCGCAGTTCACAATAGTCCAGCACCCGAATTTGAGGGTACGGGACAGGGTCGCTGGCGGAGGCAGGCGGGGTCCTGCTGTGGGAAGGAGAGCGGTGATGCAGAGGACCATGGCTGAGCCCCAGTGGGCTGGGATGTCCACCAGCTCCAGCAGCGTTGTCCATCCCGCACTGACCTCCCGGACACACCCAGCGGCAGGGAGAGGACCTGGTCAGAGCCGCTAGCGGAGGAGCAGGTCCCTGGAGCCGGCCCTGCTTTGGGGTTCAACTGCACCTCAAAACCAGTGGGGCAACCTGAGAGCACCAAAAATAACCAACCCCGAAACCCAAACCTATCACCTGAAATGAACTGATGTTCCTTCCCTGCCACTGGGCTTTTGCAACCTAAACATAATGTTTATAAAAAGTAAATTATTTCATCTTATAACTTAAGTGCATTGAGTATTTCCTTAAATATGGTTCACGCTGAAAATAAAGTTACTTTTGCTGTACAGTAAATTTCTGATAGACTTAGAAATAAACTTTGTTGATACAATCTGGCAGGTGTGGCTGTGTTGTAAATCACCCACAGCCAAACGGACCTGCACACACACACACACACGTGTGTGCCCACACACACACACATACACGCACACAGCCCCGTCCTCAGCGACGGGGATGATGTTAGGGGGTTTCTAGCTTTCTATATTCGCATGGGAACATCTAGCTTAAAAGTCCCTGTGTTTAAACAGCGAGCGCTCAAGCTGGTTGAGGGAACAGTGGGAAAACCCTGCAGCGAAATTTTCCCCCTGTTTCCCCAAGGCGTTGTCAGCTTTTCAAATTTCAAAGCCCGGCTGATGCTGCGGGCTCTCCCCATGAAGATCAGCAGTTTGCTGTTTCCACCACCCGGACTGAAGCTGGTGCGGAGGGGATACGGCACCATATACAGGAGCATCCCCCTCCCCCTGCCAAAATTTGGTTCCCCGTTTGAAATTTGAAAACCAACCAGCCAGCTGCAAAAACCACTCCTGTCCCTAATCCTAGGCTCCTAAGAGAAACATGAAACTATGCAACCCATAACTTAACTCGCTCCTTGGGAAACCCAAGCTACAACATATTGTCTGACAGCATCCCAGCAGTGTCGCATCCCCCTCCCTCCCAACCCCGGGGATCTGCAGCCCCTCCTGGGGCAGCGCGACCGCTGCCCCGTGCCAGGGACCACGCCACACTCAGGAGGTGAAGTAGGAGTTCTGCATGGAGTAGAGGTGGTCGATGGGGTTCCCCACTCGCGCCTGGAGTGGCCCCGCATCCGCTGTGGCCAGGAAGCAGTCACCCAGGTTGCTCAGTGAGGTATCGTCGCTATCCAAGTCATGGAAGAGGGGCTCGGCACCTTGGGAAACAGGGAAGGACCAGAAGGATTTCAGAGCCTGGTTTCTTTTCCGGCACTTGCCAGTACCCGATGCTCCCAGTTTTTGCACCATAAGGATTTAGGGGTGAGGGGACCACCATCTTCCCAGAAATCACTGCATCTCCCACCACACAGCTCCCTGCCATGACCCAGCATCTCTTCAAAGGAGGGAAGGCAAGAGGCACACCCCGGAGCCTTACCATAGGGGTGCATGTGGTCTCCGGGCATCTGCGGTGGGGTGAGCCCTTGCCGGAAAGGGTCGGAGCTGTAGACACTTTGCTCCATGCCCAGCAGCTGCTGGGGTGGGGGCAGAGTGGTGTAGGGGTTCAGCATCCCCTCCAGCCCCCCGCTGCCACCACCATTCGTCTGGGCTGGAAAATAAGAGCAAGTCATAGGTGCAGTCGGGCTGCTGCTTTTTGGGGAGCCCAGCTCCCTTGGGAAGCCTGGAGAGGGCTGGGAAATAGGGAGAGCATGGGGACAGCTGGTTGTGAGGGTCTGGGGGTACCTGAGCTCAGGCGCTGTGTGTTTTGCTGATCCTGCTGCTGCTGCTGCTGCCTCCTGGCGAGCTTTTTCATCTGGCCAAGAAGGGAAAAAACAAGGTGGAATCATCTCCCGGCTGCACTGAGGATGGAGGGGACACCCAGCACCGGCTATGGCGGGAGGCTACTCCTCATACCCACCTTTGCTCGCTGGTTCTGGAACCAG